AGAAAACCAACACTTACAACTGCATAGCAACACCCTAGCAACCACAACGAAATATGATAAAAACACCTAAACATCCTAGGAACAGTAAAACACCCTGGCAACCACATACAAGACCATAGCGACACCCTAGAAACCACACAGCAATGTACAAAAAGCACATAAAACACCTTAGGAAGAGCAGAATTACAACCTGGAAACCACCAAATAGATAGACAGACAGATAGATAGAAAGATACATAGACAGATAGAAATCTTCGCCACCACATTATCAACACCATTATTACCTAACCCTAACCCACCATAGTAACCACATAGTAATTTGTTAAAATACAGCAAAAAAAAAAAAAAAAAATCGTAGGAACCACAGAACACAAAATTAACACCCTAGCAACCACATAGTAATGTACCAAAAATGCATAGAACACTTTAGGAAGTGCGAAACAACACCTTGGAAACCATCAAGAACACCCTAGCAACTACATAGCAGCACCCTGGCAACCACATTGTAAAGTACTAAAAACATTGAACACCAACCTGGAAACCACATAAGCACCCTAGCAACCATGTTGCAACACCGTAAAATACAACCTTATGATTATTAGTTTGGATCTTTAAACATCCACACCCACCCATCTGTGAAATCTCTGATGTATCAGCTTTGTTTATAGTGCCTTATAGGAGATCAGTCCAGGGGGCAAATTTGACTTTTTAATGGATGGACATAGATGTACGTGTGTGTGTGTGTGTGTGTGTGTGTGAGAGAGAGATTGATCACATTGTGGGAGATTCCAACAGAATGCCTGGAATCTAATCTCTTACAGGACTGGAGAATATTATTGTCTTGACCTTCCACTGTCTGTCTCTCACATCAACACACACATGACTGGGATGGTATCTAGGTGTCATGTTAGTATGCAAACCTTAAAATGCAAATATGGTAATGGTATTGCAAGATATGAAATTAATAAAATCTTATTCATGGTCACATATATTCAAATACAACACACATAACACGCTAAGTACAGTGCTACTGAATACATTTGGTTTACATTTGGACCAAACTAAATATTCAGAAGTGAGAACTAAAAAACCTAGCAACACCTTAGTTAAACAACACCCTGGGAACCACAAAGAACAACATAGCAACACCATAGAATGTAATAAACCATTCAAAACACCTTAGAAACTGCAGAAACCCCTGACAACCACCCAGAACACCATAGCAACACCTTAGAAACCACATAGCAATGTGCTAAAAACACTCAAAACATCCTTGGTGACTGCAGAAAGCCCTGTCAACCATATATGATACCATAGCAGTGTAATAAAACACTAAAAACCCCTGACAACCACATAGGACACCACCATAGCTACACCCTACCAACCACTTAACAAACTTAGAAGTGGAAACCATGTAGAACACCCTTGCAACACCTTAGGAACTGCAAAAAACCCCAACAACCATTTAAGATACCACAGCAACACCCTAGTATAGCAACCACACAGGAAGGTGTGGTTTAGGAAGTGGAACTATCTTGAACAAAAAAATGAAATAATGACAATAAACAATAATAATAATATACGACAATAATAATTATAATAATAAATGAAAAAAAATGTATATAGGTTTAAATTTGTATCTATCAATCAAATGATCATATAGAGTAATAGAAAGTAATTTTCTATATGAATTATCATGATCCTTTATAGTATCATCACATCCACGTCTCTTCATATCATCCTATTTCCTCCTCGTGTCTCAAACCTCACCAAACCCTCATCCTCTAATAATCCTCCCCCAACATCTCTCCGTCCGTTCCTCCCTTCCAAATCCTTATCGAGCAAATGAACGCATCAGTCAAAGCTGACGTGATTATCAGGCCGGGTTATCACCTCCTGTCGGTCTGCGTTTGGCTGTTTGGAGCTCCAGAGGGCAAAAGCTCATTCACAAGAAGGTAAAGTGCTATTCAACCCAAGTTTGACCAAAGTGAGTTTGACGAATGAACAAACGAATATTTGGAATTAGGGAATTAGTGTAAAATGTACAATTTAGGCAGAGCAACAATTTGAAGAGAATCTGGGATATTCTTATATCTCAGTCAGTATCTGAATAAAAACACATCTGGTTTGCAATGTCCACATAGATGATCAACTGGACAGTGCAAACATGATGCAAATATGACTTTACAAAACCAATTCCAGGACACCTGCTGATTGGCTAGTGTTTTCAGCGGTCCCGGACTCTATAAAGACGTTTCTGGGTGCAGTGGCAGCGACTCGTCACGCAGGAAACCGTGATTACGCTCTGGTTTGTGGAATAGCAATTATGTGAACAGTGGCCTGTAATCTGTGGGATTTCCATGATACAATGTGTATGTGTGTGTGTGTTTGTGGGGGCACATAAGAGATGGAAACACTCTCTCTTTTCCTTCTGCTTGGACAAAGCAGTGGTCCGTGACACATTAGAGAGCTTCATATTTCCTGTGGCAGGTTCCAAAACTGTGATACGGTGGCAGTGACAAATCATATTTGCATACAGACCCCTTTAGTTCACAGACACACAGTAGATCAACCAGAAAACCTTTACAGTTTTCAAATACAAATGTTCTAGAACTGTGTGCTGCAGACACATAATGCGACAAACTCTAGATGGTGATTCAGTCCGTTATTGTTCAGGAAGACTAAAACTATTAAAAATACATTCATGGAACTGAAATAAAGCTTTAAAAAAATTAGATAAAAAAAACTGAACTTAAAAAAAAAAGTCGAAATAAACGAAATAATAAACCACCTAGAGCACCATGGAAACACCCTAGCAACTATACAACCATGTACTAAAATGCATAGAACACTTTAGTCAGTGCAAAACAACATCCTAGCAACCCCCTAGAACACCATGGAAACACCCTAGCAACTACACAACCATGTACTAAAATGCATAGAACACTTTAGTCAGTGCAAAACAACATCCTGGCAACCACCTAGAACACCATGGAAACACCCTAGCAACTATACAACCATGTACTAAAATGCATAGAACACTTTAGTCGGTGCAAAACAACATCCTAGCAACCCCCTAGAACACCATGGAAACACCCTAGCAACTACACAACCATGTACTAAAATTCAGAACACTTTAGAAAAGGCAAACCAACATCCTGGCAAACACCTAGAACACTATAGAAACACCCTAGTAACTACACAACTATGTACTAAAATGCATAGATCACTTTAGTCAGTGCAAAACAACATCCTGGCAACCACCTAGAACACCATGGAAACACCCTAGCAACTACACAACAATGTACTAAAATTCAGAACATTTTAGGAAAGGCAAACCAACATCCTGGCAAACACCTAGAACACTATAGAAACACCCTAGTAACTACACAACTATGTACTAAAATACAAAGAACACTTTAGTCAGTGCAAAACAACATCCTGGCAACCCCTAGAACACCATGGAAACACCCTAGCAACTACACAACAATGTACTAAAATTCAAAACACTTTAGAAAAGGCAAACCAATATCCTGGTAACCACCTAGAACACTATAGAAACACCCTAGCAACTACACAACTATGTGCTAAAATACATAGAACACTTTAGTCAGTGCAAAACAACATCCTGGCAACCCCTAGAACACCATGGAAACACCCTAGCAACTACACAACAATGTACTAAAATTCAGAACACTTTAGAAAAGGCAAACCAACATCCTGGCAACCACCTAGAACACTATAGAAACACCCTAGCAACTACACAACTATGTGCTAAAATACATAGAACACTTTAGTCAGTGCAAAACATCATCCTGGCAACCCCCTAGAACACCATGGAAACACCCTAGCAACTACACAACCATGTACTAAAATGTATAGAACACTTTAGTCAGTGCAAAACAACATCCTGGCAACCCCCTAGAACACCATGGAAACACCCTAGCAACTACACAACAATGTACTAAAATTCAAAACACTTTAGAAAAGGCAAACCAACATCCTGGCAACCACCTAGAACACTATAGAAACACCCTAGCAACTACACAACTATGTGCTAAAATACATAGAACACTTTAGTCAGTGCAAAACAACATCCTGGCAACCCCTAGAACACCATGGAAACACCCTAGCAACTACACAACCATGTACAAAAATGCATAGAACACTTTAGTCAGTGCAAAACAACATCCTGGCAACCACCTAGAACACCATGGAAACACCCTAGCAACTACACAACAATGTACTAAAATTCAGAACACTTTAGGAAAGGCAAACCAACATCCTGGTAACCACCTAGAACACTATAGAAACACCCTAGCAACTACACAACTATGTACAAAAAACACATAGGACACCTTAGGAACACCACCATAGAAACCACAACACCCTGGCAACCACCTAGTAGAACACAATAGTGACACCCTAGCAACCATTTAGTAATGTACTAGAAATGCACAGAAAACTTTAGGATATGCAAAACCATCTAGAACACCCTATCAACTGCATAGCAACACCATAAACCTGAAATAAAGTTGAATAAAAGCTATGTATAAAGATTTAAAATTAATAACAATAAAAATGGCAACAGCACATAACAAAACGACCCAGAAAGATGATTTTCTGTCAGTCTGCACCTTTGAAAGCACGTTCCCACAGTTCTAACGGAGACCTGATAGATGTTGTCTTTGACTAGAGTAAAGTTCACCTCGACTCTTTGACCCTACCCAGACACCGTATTCATCCACACAGGCCACATTGAGCCCGTTGCCGAGGTGAGCTGGACTTTCTGGCAGGACTTCAATCTTGGCATAACAAACTGCCATTGTAACTTCCTGTCTTTAATCTGGGAGATCAATGCATGTGTCTTTCTTAATCAAAACTCCCACAGCGCACACACACACGGCAGTCGTTTTGATCTCAGTCTCTTTTCAATGGGCTGTTTGATATGGGATAATATCTAACCTGAGCGAGGTGACTTGTGTAATTAAGGTGCGCACCTGTGCATGCCAGAGCCGCCCGTCCCGATTCACTCCCAAATCCGTCATGGACCACTAGAAAAAATAGATAAAGATTATAAATATAAACAATTTCTCACTCTAAATTAAAGACTAAATCAAAATCAAATTCTATATTTTTACTAGTGGTGTCAAAATATAGTGCTGACCAAAAATGTATGCACCTCTTGATGGAAATAATACCACAGCATTTATTTTCATCAAGAGGTGCATCAATGTTTAATGGAAGCTTGTTTCCGCAACAGAATAAAACATTTAAAAAGATAATTGCGATTTTTTTATTTCACAATTGCGAGTTTACATCTTACATATTTCTCAGAATTGCAAGATATAAAGTCCAAAATTTTTATATTTTGCAATACTGACGTTATAACACGCAATTGGGAGATATAAAGTCAGAATTGTGTGATATAATGTGAAGTCCAATTTTAAAGACTTTTTTCCTCAGAATTGTCTGTATCTCACAATTCTGACTTTATAACTCGCAATTGCGACTTTATATTACGCAATTGACCTATGGCTAAGCCACACCCTCAAATGCGATGAGCCAATCACAGTGCGCAGCTAACCCAATACACTCGGACATTAATTCTCTGCTTCCACGTCCATTGAAATGCATTGCAGTTAGTCAGTTTTGTTTCGTTTCTTCTTGTCATTTTAAGTTTAAAATGGTCAAACGGTTCATGCAACTCCGACACATAGTTTCCGAGAGGCTGGGCGACGGTGTGTGTTTTTTACCCTTTCCCAAGCCATATCTCAACCAAGATACGTGTCTGCTCTGGATTACGTTATACGGTAGACGACAACGTGGATAAATTAAACAAGGATGTCTACATCTGTCAACAACGTATTTGAACGTTATCTTTAACGTTAGTCTAACGTTAGCCTAACATTAGAAAACGTGTGTTGTACATCACGTCCCTTAGCTTCATTAACGTATCTGTAAATAACCAAGATAACAAATGTTAACAATGTTGTGCATGTAAATACTGTCGCACCAAACGCTGATGGCAACGAAATGCGGTTTATCACTTTTACACTGCGACCTGTACAGCTGAAGCTTTTCATCGACCTTCTCAACAACAAAATTATTAATATAACCCTCCAATGCATAGTTAAGGGCCTATAGGTGACTTCCAGATGATATATAATCTCTCTGAATGTTGACTGTGTGTTTGAGTGAGTAGAGGGGGCGTGGCTTAGCCATAGGTCAATTCAATACACTCGCAAGTGTGAGAAAATAAGTCAAAATTGTGGGATTAAAAGTTGCAATTACCTTTTTTTATTTTTTTTAATCTGACAAGCTTACGTAACTTTTGGACCAGATCTTGTATTGTCGATGTACGAGTCCAGCAGAATTTTTTCAGTGAATTTAAGCTCTGTATTTTGTTTCTGTATTTTTGTATAATGATCTTATTTTAATGGCAGAATATTTTTTTTAACAAAAACAAATCTTTTATTAATTGACCACTATATCCCCCTCTGTAATGTGCAATTTCTCACACAATTCCTCTTTTTACTGAAAACAATCAGCTGTCAAACTGAAGTGGAGTGGAGCGAGCGTTCATTCTCGCTACTGCTTCTCACTTATGCATTTAACAGCGCCGCTAATCACAGCGTAATGACTAAACTGTGACTCAGCAGGAAACGGCCAATGTGTTTAACCTCCCAGTGGCTTCATGACTCACGGCTTTACTTGGCAAACGCGCTCGCGTAGCCCAACCGTGCGCTAACTCAACGCACCACAGGAGCTTTCCCACAGACGGCAGGTGAAATACCATTACTAGGGGAATCTCTTTACGTTTTCCAGTCTTTTAGCAAAATGTTTCATTTGGACATTTCTTTTCCGTGTGTTTTGTGCGAGTGTTTGGTTTTAGCATTGGCGAATTCCAGAAATTCCAGCTTTGTTGACGATCCAATTCTTTGCTGACTTAAGATTTGTTTTCTTAATTTCCATGTTGAATGTGTTTGAATTTCTGTGGTGTTTTAACAGACATAAAACTTCCTGGCAAGGTTCTCTCAAAGTTATGACATTAAAAGAGCATTCAGTCAGAATTATTATCAAAATAATAATCCAAGGCACTCGATTTATAGTACAAAAGTTAAAAAGCCTTTATTAGTTCAATGGCTTTAATTCATAAAATTGTTGACAGAGACACCTACGCGTTGCGGCTTATGCCTTCGCCAGGGTGTGTGTAACAAACAAAGTCACAGCAGGTGCATTTTAAGTAGCAGTTGATTAATCTTAATAGTAAACACCTGGTCATACTATGCAACGTTAGCCAGCAGGGAGCAGAGTTCAATAGATAGCATATTATCCTACAACATATCAAGTCAAGAGAGAAAAAATGAATAAATAAATAATAATAATAATACAAAATAATAATTTAAAAAAATCATTCAGTCAGTTATCTGGTCTTTAATAATGTTATTTAAAAAATTTCAAACAGTTTAAAAATACAACAGGCAATTTTCGGTCCATTTTATTTCGCGGTTCAGTGGTTCAAATTCGACAGTACTTCTATAGCACATCTAAAACAATGTCATATTTGCATTCAAAATGTCATAACTGAGCGACTGTCATAACAAACATGCATAAAACTTCCTTCATATTCATAACATTTGTCACGCATAATTATGAAGGTGTCATGTTAGTCTAATGCACACCCCTTCATTTTTTTTTTTTTTTTTTTTTGTCAAATGTTGCATATTTATGCAGCTCAAACTAGTTTTTTGCACACAATCTACATGGCTTATCACTTTCAAAAGTCCTGAATTAAATTGTTTGCATTAATGGTTGTGATTTGCATGCTCTTTTGTTTGGGAAAGGTATCGTTTTCGCATTGAATTCAGTGCAATATGAAGTGCGGTTTTGCTGAATTTTGATGCATGTTTGGTCTGACACAAATAATATGAGATTGTGAGCTTGGGCTTGCCGCTGATGTTTGTCCTGGCAGAAGCGGAGGATGTTTTTCCTCTCTTTCCACTCCCTGCCAGACTCACACGACACATTGCAGATCTGTTTGTTGTTCTGAGGCCTCGTGCCATGTACGTTTTACGATGTTTAGGAAATTATTTTTATTTTTTGTCCGACTTTGCGGTCCGCTGCATGAGCTTTTTGCATGATAAAATATTTTTCTTTCGCTCTGTCCGTTCGAAACGTATAATTAGCAATTAAGCCGATGCCGTTTTCTTGGCAAGGCTTCTGACTCGCAATATTCCCCCCTCCCAGAAATGATGGTGGTGCGCTTTTGATGACCTGCAGTTTTGTTCTCGGAAGAAAAGCAAATATAGGATATTGATCTACTACACAAAACGACAGCGCTCTTATTGCCTTTTCTCAAATAAATCACAAATGCAAACGCAACAACCTCAGGGAGCGCCTGTAAATTACGTTCACGAAAGATTCATTTCTCGCTCTGTAAGTCTGGTTTAAAGCTCGGTGACCTCTGACCCCTGCGTGGCGTGCCGTGAGAAAAGCGTCCTGCGGTTCACTGCGGTTCGTCTTGGGAACCCTTTGTCGTGGTTTGGTCTGCATGGCGGGACACAGCTGTTTTGTTTTTATTTTGGACGACGAGGAGTTCGGGAACTTCACCTTTTGCCAACGTTTAATTAGAAAAACAAGCGTGCTTTGAAGACGCTCGACTGCCATTAGGATAAACGCAGAAACGTTTCAGCTCGATTTACTCATCACGATGTCTAAATGACATTTCAAAGAAAATGTCATTGTTTACTCACCGTGATGTCGTCGTTTCAATCCTGGAAGACTCCTCTGGCTTCACCTTCCGTGATCTGTGAGGGGAAAACAGCATGAAATTAAGACGAAATTAATTATTAATTTTTATTCACAATTTATGAATGTGTGTGTGTGTGTGTGTTCATGTTTTTCTATCCCGGTGGGGACTTAAACCTGAATGCACACACACTGTTGGACCTAAAGTGAGTCCTCATGGGTAAACATGCTTATAAATCATAAGGAATTATTATTTATATTAATTATTAATTATTATTATATTATTATTATTTTTGAAAATGTAAAAATGCAGAATGTTTCCTGTGATGGGCAGGTTTAGGGGTCGGGTTAGTCTGTGTGTGTGTGTCAGAGTGTGAAATACACCTTGAAATAACACCTTGCAGGACAAAAAGTGTGTTAAGAAACAGTCATAAAAGCACACTTTTATTTAATTATTAATATATTATCTGCAAGTACCATTTTTTTTAAAATATAAAATATCTTTTAAGATTTGAAGCACTAAGCCCACACATTAAATACTATTAAGTGCATTTCTGTATTTTAATGAACTGATTAGACTCTTAAATTCGTCCGGCTGTGGCTCATTTGCAGCTTTACGTTGAGTTTATATAGAGTGTGATTTCCTCTTGAAAAGACTGACGCTCTTCATTGTGTTTTCCTCTGTGAGGTTTGTCCGGCCGGCCTGACTCTGTTTCTTTGGTGTTCGAGAAGTTCATTTTGTTCTGCTTATGTATGTAGGGTGAAGCTCCGGGTCAGGAGTGGGTAATAATTAACCAGTGGGAGAATTCAGGGTGGTGGAAGAGTTTGGTGAACATTTTGTACTCACACTTAAACAAAAGCACACATACTCGCACATACATACACTCTCTCTCTAACACACCCACACACACTAATACTTATTCATTATTATAAATTCTTAAATTTCAAATGTTTAATTCAACTATAAATAATTGTTATTATAAAAAAACAAATATTTAAAATTATATTTAAAAGAAAATGTTAAATATTTTAAATGTTCCAAAAAATAATCAAATAAAATAGTCAAGATAATCAGTGTAGTCTCAGACTTGGACGTTAGTGTATCAGAAGTAGTGGCGTGGTGTCGGTTTAAACCAAATGCAAAGGGAGGCGGTCAGGAATGCGAGGGAGTTGAACATTGATAGAAGATGAATTGATATTCATAAAGCATAACGTCTGAGGTAATACTCAAAGGTGTGAACACTATTATGGAGAGAGCTGTGTGTGTGTGTGTGTGTCATACGGGACGCTTTGAGCTGCCAGCACAGATTATAACACTCCTCCTGATGTATATTTCTCTTGGGGGTCAAAAGTCAATTTGTGTAGCAAGAGATGGGCTGAATTTGGAAAAGCACACTAAACAATGTTAATGTAATATAATTTATATTCATTTATGCATTAGGCATATCCAAGGAAGAATACTTTTATTATTTATTTACATTTTGAATAAGCTATTTTTATTTGTTCATTTTTATCTTAGCTTAAGTTTTAGTCATTTTGTTATGGGCTTTTTACATTTTTATTCATTTTTGCTTTTATAAATTTTGCTACTTAGATTTCAGTTTTAGTAATTTTAGTACTTCAACTTATTATTTAATACTTATGTAAGTTTTTGTTTTATAAATTTAGAGAGTACAGGCATGATATATAAATTAGTAAATAAATAAATGAATGACTACATGAATAAATAAATGGATGAATACATAAATAAATAAAACAAATATGCAAAAAAAGTATATTTAAAATATGTTTAGAAAATATATCATGTTTAATAAACTTGCAATCAATGCAATCTATGAATTAAATCAGATTTACCTTTAAATAAAACACGTTTTTCATCTAATATTGATATTTTATTATTGAACATTTTAATTTACAATATCAAATAAATTTGTGTCGTTGCATATTGCATACTTTTCTAAACAATTAAAGACTATTCCAACCCAAACAGAGCCAAGAAAAATCTCATTCAGACACAAAATATTAAAAATGTTCCAGACTAGATATTTTTTTGTGTGTAAACATGCCTTATCAGTGCATCCAAATTGCTTTATTAAACTTTATTGGCAATTGGCCTCAAAAGATTGTCTCATAATCATTAATTACTTTATTATTACTTTCTATATGTTTTGCATTGTTCCACCCCAGTGTTTTATTTCTATAAAACGGCAATTAAACACATTTGTGTTGAATTGTAGGTCACAGGTTACTTGTGTAATGTTTGCTCAGGGTTTTAGGCGATAAACTGATAACCCGAAACAAACGTTCGATTAGTCCTGAGCTTTTGTCTGGACGTCAGCCAGTGTGTTTGGGTTGTTCGGCTGTTTTGAAACCATCCCGGCCTCCAATTCATGAAATGCCTTTGGTTTTATTGTTTGTTCCAAAAAGCAGATCCATCTTGATTATGTTAGTTTACATTTGAAAGGCTGGTTTTAATGTTTGAAGACGAGTCTTCACTTGAGGGATGTTTCAGCGGTGAACGTGACGGCCCGTCATCTGTTATTGGAAACAGCCGGGAAAATGTTGTGTCGGATTACCTAATTGAAAGCATCCACTACATTCGTCTGCAGGAAGGTGACGTGCTTTAACACTGGTCAACGCTCAGCCTGGCAGATGTTTATTTGCACATGAGAATCCGATGAAGGAAAACGCTGGGATTTAAGAAGCGAGAAACATCAAGGAAAAGTTGTGATTTTTTTTTTAGAGAGATTTTTGCAGGGAAAGTATTTCACGCAAATGAATGTGAACAGAAATAAAACCAAATGTGGGGAATTTCACAACAACCATCGAACTGCAAGGTTTGAACAACTATCATTTATTTTCATTGACAAATTAGTTTTTTCTTTTGGTTTGGAGAAAATAATTAAAGTAAAGCATTTAATTCATTGAATTATACCCCAAAATAGTCCATATAACCACCATTTACTATATAAAACCTTACATTGGACATCATTTCCAGCAAAAATGACTAAATCTCAATAAGTTGCTGTAATATTGAACCACTCATACGCAATACAAAATGTTGGACATATAGCATACTCTAAAGGCCTGTTCACACTAATGACGATTGCAAACTGCATGCAAAATGTTGCTCATCTGCCCACTATAACGATAATTATATTATCATCCACACCAATGCACAATATCGTTCTGTTTAAGTGTGCGCTACAGTTTTGTCGCTCTTTAAACTCTTTAAAGCAGAATGGATTCTGATTGGCTCGTCGTTCTTATGTGCAATTATTGTTATAGTTGTGATGTGGAATCAGAATTAGAAGACATCTTTTTTCATTTTTAGTTTTTGGTTTAAATCGTCCTCTACTGTTTGTTAATTTGGGGTTAACTTTAATCCCAGCTAACAAAAATATGTTCTAAGAACATGTTGCCAAAAGTTCCAATTTGGAATGTTCTCGGAACGTTCAAAATGTCCAGTTTTTTTTTGTTTGTTTTTTAAATGTTTCAAAACGTTCTTGGTTATTTGAACGTTAAGGGAACATTCCGAATCGGAACTTTGGCAAAATGTTCCATTTGATCAGTTTGCAAACATTATGGGGAATTTTACTTTTAAATGTTCTCTAAGAGTTCGTTCTGAAACAAGTAGTAAAAAAAAAACATCCAACTATAAAGTTTAAAGTATAAATAAATGTTTTTATGCTAAAGTTTTTAGAACGTTATTAAAGACCAGATAACTGAGAACTTTTGAGAACCTATGCCGAGCGTTCCCTCAAGCAGCACACTAACATTTGGCCAAACGGCTCTTGCAAAAAAACAGGGAAACATGCAATATTTCATTCATCCTTAATGACATTCACTTCCTGCTGGGTCACTCAACATCGTCAGAGATTTCTATTTCCGTCCTATATCGAAATTTCATGAGCGATACATGATTCTGGGCGGAAATGTGTCCGCGGCGATGACGCACTGTTCAGGATGCGAGGAGGAAAAACGTGCCAAATCCGCTTGTAGATGATGGCACTATGTTCGCGTATGCATGACGGGTTCAAACAGTGGGTGTCCTCGTCTCTTCAGACCTCTGCTTCATCCTTCAAGCAGCAGGGGATACAAAACACATCGAATTAATCCGACTCGTGAAAACGGGTCGTCTGAAAGGGTTTTGTGGGGACTCAGAGAGGGGTGTTGTCTAAAAAGCTTTTTCACAGTGAAAACACGCTGATTACGTTATTGTTGAGTGGCTTTTGATTCCCACACGAGGACCTAATGCTTCCCCGAGGAGACCTCCATTAACCGGCACAGCGGGGATTAAACCTCCACCTCATCAGAGTCTCGGACCCTCAGCGAATCACGGGAAACGCTGGTCCGGCTCTCCAGCGCTTTTGACCGTTGCGCCTCTTTCTAGTGGCTGAATGCGGGGTTCACAGTTTGTTGTTCCAAAACAATGCGCAGGGGTTGGATGAATGAAGAGTCTTGCGTTTTTTTCCGCGTTGTGTTCCCCCTCCATCTCTTCTTCTGCTCCAAGGGAACGTAATTAGAGTGGGGAATTGGACGGGAGGAGGCTTGGGATGGGGGTTGAGAATGAGAAGGCTATTATCCCGCTGTTAGACGTGAATGGAGAGACCCACTCAGACGGCACAAAAGGGACGAAGCTGAGAGGAGCCCTTGCTAAAAGAGACCCGGCTTCACCGGAGCTTCAGTTCGGGAACAGATGCGACGACAAGCTCTGAGAGGCAGCGTTTATGTTTGGTGGAGAATGTTAAGATAAAGAAATGACGAAAAAGTCCTTGCGGAATTGTGTCGAACCTTCCGAAACATGGACTAAAAGTATTTGTTTTGCATTGTGAGATTATTTTCATGACTTTAAAATCATAAACACGTCAAATTCTCACTTTAATGCAAAAGAATACTTCTCATTCATGTGATGTGGAAATTATTATTATAAAGCAAAGCCAAATCTCATTCTTGTTCCCATTATGTTGAAATTATTGTTATTTTAAAGCAGGTCGTACGTGCCCCCTGCTCGATTTTTTTGTGATTTTAATATGCAAATGACACATTTCTGAGCGTG